TAAATACTAGTAATTTCATAGTGCGTGACAGTTTTGGATTCACAAAATCTATATGTGTAACATCGAGTTGTCCCCCCCACTTATTTACTTACCCCTAGGTATTATATTATCAATATCCTCTTTTCTTAATTTTGAAATAGTCAATGCGCTGAAAGTTCTTACTCTTCGAATCTTATCCTCTCCAATGTTGATAAAGAGTTTATAAATTTTTCGCGACCTCTCCACTTTCTTCCATAGTGTAGTATCCGTAATATTTGGAAGCTGATTCCTAACTTCATTATTAACTAGCAACGAAGACGCGTATGGAGAATTAGATTTTTTATGATGCTCAAGACGTTCCGAGAAAGATTTTCCAAAAAGATAATAGCAAATTATAACTTCCTGATTTGTAATTTCGTTTTGGGCTTCGGCATTGGTGATATTGTTATACAAATCGAAAAAATTATCAGCGTTTTCTTTTCTAGATACAGAAGCTTGTGGAACCTCAGGCTCAGTCGATAATTCTTTTATTAGCTCTTTTAATACATCGGATTCCTTCTTACCAACCTTTCCATTTTTCCAGTAGAGGTATCATCATTACGAGATCATTTACGTGGTCTTTTTTTTGAAGTGGTGGTAGCGATTTGATTATCTTCACCTTCATCATCCAAATCCATTTCTTGATCCTCCTGCGAAGCTTCAGTAGAACGGATCTCGAGTTGCTTATTCATTCTACCAATTACGCTTGAAGTATCACTTGACTGAGATTCTCGTCTAGAAATATCTACAACGATCTCAACGCTTTGATTACACCCAGGAAAAGGGCATTTATTTGGTATGGTAATTAAAAGATTTTTTTCAATGCAGACTCTATGAAATACATGGCCACATTGTAATGTTGTGAATGCCTTAAGAGGATGCGAAAATATTTTATTATTACATTCTGAACATTTCTCTAGTTCCGGAAATTCTTTACCGTTAACAATGGGATCTACAAATTCTTTTAAAATATTATATGCGAGATTTTTGAGATTAGTGGTAGACATAATGAAATCTTTCGTAAATAATGCATGAAATATACTTTCTCTGAAAGATAAATCCGAATTTGGTTTCTTTTATAGTGTTAATATTTCCGCAAGTCAATAAATTAACAATTTCGGAGTAATATAGTCATGAATGAGATCAATTTATTTTCTATGGGCGATCTCGGATGAAAAATAATTTCTAGTAAGCATAGTAAATTTAGTATACATTAATTAATCATTTTTTTATGAACGATCTATTGTCTATACCAATCCTAATTATTATAAATTTATCTGATAGGTAAAATCGAAAACTTTGGTATATCTCATACGACGCACAGGCCCCTTATTCGATGTCAAAAAAAAAGCTTAATCGTTTTTATACAACAACAATACATACAGACGCATTTTCAGATAAGAAATACTTATTATGATAAGGCTCGAAGAGCCATTGCTCCGCAATACATTGAAAATTATTTTTATATGCGACTAAATAGTTGTATACTATTATTTTAGAATGTAAATGATAGGTCCATCAAAATCCGGATCAAGATTGCAATTAACTTTTTTCGTTTTAGGCTTGACTATTTTTCTTGCCAAGAATGATCGGCGTGAAGATTCTTCACGCGCACGTGATTTTTTTATTTGAAATTAAAGACATAAATCAATAAAAATATTTCAAGACGTATACAATATTCTTCCGAAATTTTTTGAAAAATTATATAGATTGATATTAAACATGCAATCTAAAGACGATGAGTTGAAAACTCAAGTTTCTGACTCCTCATTGAGAGAATTGAATTCCAGGCTCGTAATCGAGATTGATAAGCTTAGAGGAGAGAAAGATTCACTTATAAGTAAAAATACCGAGCTCTTGGCTAGAATTGTAGAATTAGAACAATCTATAAAAGAAGATGCTGAAAATACAAAGTTAAGAGACGCCGAACTTAATACCAGAATATTCGAATTAGAACGATCAGCAAAAGAAAACGAAGAGCTTAGAAACAGAGTGGCGAAATTGGAACAGCACCAGTGCATCGATACTAATACCATATTGTTAGATGATGAAACAAATTCTAACGATACTTCTGAACAGATAATCTCATGTAATGAGGAGTCTAACACATCTAATTCTGACATATACCAGGATTCGGAAACCTCTACATCTCCTTCAGAAACCATATCATTTGCTTCGCAAAGCAACTGGAAGAGAAGGTAGGAAATGAATTTCGGGATCAAGAGTTACTCTCAACTCCTGAGAACACTATCCCTAAGATTTCTATATCACCGAATAAGAATGCTTCCATACACAAAGCAGAGAAATCATTACTTAATAAAGATCTAAATATTCAAGATACAAAACTTTCTTCTTCTGAATCTAAATCGTCTATTATCTCTTCATCCAATCAGGAACAAAGTGCTATTTCTTCCGAAATAAAAATTACCTATAATCAAAAGGTTGAACAAGGTTTAATATGTGAGTTATCTAAATTTATTAACGAGAAAAGCCTTTCGAATCCCATACCTGATAGACAAATTCTTGAAAACACGCTAAATGGAGATGATTCAACCCCAGGTTCTGCATCGCGTTTGGCCCATTTATTCGACAAGGCTAAAAAAACTGGCCAGAAAGAAATTTTACGTTGGTATTATTATAGTGAGGAATTCGAAAAAAAGGTAACAGACATTAGCTTTAAAAACGAACTTAACGATCAAATGGCGAGAACACAGATTTATAATGAAATGGTTCCATTTCTTCCTGGCATTAAGAGAGAGTATTTGCGTAAGAAAACTCAAAAGGCTAGAAATATTTATACATTATTCAAAGAAATAGGAATAGATAAAATCAAACAAGTTACGTATAGTGCTGATGCTATTTCTAGTTTAACAGGTGTTCAAATCCAAAATATAATAAAGCTTTTCTCTGAAAAGCCTAATGTAGAATTAGTTAACGAGCAAGCTGAATGTCAAAAAGTGATCGGCGTGAAGATTCTTCACGCACAAACAACCACACCATCTTGCTCAAATGACATATCAAACATTGACGTAAGTATATCATCTAATTTATCTCCAGAAAATGAAACTGAGGTAAGTGCATCACCTATATTTTCATCCAATCCAGCTCATAGCCATGCATATTTTCGTAATAAAACACTAGAAAAATATCCTAACTTATATCAAGAAGGTAGTGATGGAAACGATGATTATTATGGAATTACCGATGAGTCTTTATGTCCACTATGCAAATTAGATCATGACGATGATAATGGTATAGAAGGTAAATATGAAATTGGAGAATCGGAGATTCGATGCTCTGCATCATCCTATTATATTAAATGCGAACAGCGTGGAATTGAAATTGAGGTAACGGCATGAACTTAAACTTATACTAATACAATTCGCTCAAGTCTTTAAGGTGTCCCTCTGAGGCATATTTATTTTTTGTTAGTTATTGTATTGTGAAACAATGAGCTTCGCTCTAATTTAAAGAGATATGTATTATATAAAATGGAAA